CCAGTAGTGCTGGGTGATCGATAGTGTCGCACAGGTTCGGTTGATTTAATCGGTTGTCTACCTGCAGTTGAAGAAGACGCCCAAGACACCGATGCAGACGGCTTGGCCTCCACCGACCTCAGTCAGGTCTCCTCCACCTTGTCCTCCTTCTCTCCTCTGCTTCCACCCCCACTCAGCCCCCCGTGTGTCCAGTCGCAAAACTCGAAGCCACTTTTGGCCCGTGACCGCCGTCGGACAGATGTGCCAACGTCACACGTCTCAGCACCACCTGTTCCACCCGGCCTCCTCCCCACACATGCCGCGTATGCTCTTTTTACCATCAGTGGAAAGGTTTCTTTGTGTCTCACAACGCTAGTGTACTTTGAAGATTGTTTCTATTCAACAGCTTTAGACTGACTGGAGTCGACAGCAGAGGTGTTCTGTTTCCATCTTGGCCAATCATCCCATTTACCGTTTAAATGATTGACAAAATCAGAACCTGATCTCTCAGGTGCTTCGCCATCAAGTTCATCCATTTTGTAGCTAAGGAGATATGAAATAGATCCCCTGTTTAGTCTTTAGTTGTTCAATAGCCAATCGTCCTGCACTGTCACATCGAAAGCCGTTGGTTTTCTCCGCTCATGCACCACAAGCCACTGCCGCCTGCTTATTGTGTATCCACCACTTTCGAGACTTGCTTTTAAAATCTCGAATTAATTCCTTTTGTGCCTTTTTAGTCTCCTTGTCAGGTAAGTGGAAGTCCATTGGGGTATCCGTCTCCGGTAGTCTTGATGGCGTGGACCTCCGGTCCTTCGAGAAGTGCAACAATGAAAACAAGCAAAATAGCGCCATTGAGGAAAGACCTGGTATGTGGTTGAGTGTTCTATGCTTACATTTTAGTAATGTTTGTTGGTTAACCCAGTACTTTGGATTTGATTGGACTTCAGGTAATTCTGTGGGTTCCTGACTGAGCGTGTTAAAGTGTGTGCACACACACACACGCACAAACGTACTTGGTGCCTGCGAGCAATCCGTGGTGCTAGTGTAAGTTGTGTCCATTCAGCTCATGCAAGTCTTTATTAATGCCTTCTTCAAGTCATAAAATGGCTGTCCACCTGGCGTCTGATTCACATTAAGACGGACGCGTGTTCTAGCAATGTGCGTTGAGAGGCTAGGTGAAGTTATCCCAGCGACCAATCGAAGTAATTCAAGTGATCATTGAATGGCGGTAATCCACGCACTTGTGGTTTAAAGTGGCTTCAAGTTGTGAAAGTAACTGCATGCTTTGTGGTGATGGTGCTGGTGGTTCACATTCCATGCACTTTCTACTTCAAGGCTGCTCATGCAGAAACGTGATGTCTTCTACTGGGACCCATGGCTGTTGTTCAACTTGTGGCGCTGGCAATGCAAAACTAGGCGTACTTCCTGTACAGTTTAGGAGCAGGCTTCCAGTGGTGTTCTGTCTTAACAAAGGCAAATTTGTACATGGGGTCTGTTGTTGTGTGTTCCAAGTGCTGGCCAGTTTCCCAGTCAAGGTGCATGAACACGTCGTAATGCGTTCCACACTGGAGCCGCGCAGACGTCTGCTGGCATTTGCGTCTCTTGCTTGAGTGCGGTACTAATTTGGATAGGAGCACGTTCATGGACTGTCGAAGTATGAGAAATTGCGCCATTTTATGTAGTGGCTCTAATGTCAACAGTGTAGCCCTAGTTGTAGTCTACGTACTTCTAAGTTATGTCTGCTCGTCTGGCCGAACTTCGGCGGCGCAATGACCTT